TTTGTGGCTTACCCTCCTTGTGAAGGGTGTCAATGACTGTCTTCTGGACAACTGTCAGATCAGCAGTCTTCCCCATGATTGTGTAGCCTACTGACCCAGACTGAGAGACCATTTAAAGGTTCAGGAAACCTTTGCAGGTGTTTTGAGGTAATCAGCTGATTAGGGTGTGACACCATAACTTTCCAATATTGAACTTTTTCACAGTATTCTAATTTTCTGAGACACTGAATTTTGGGTTTTCATTATCTGTAAGCCATAATCATCAAAATTTCAAGAAATAAAGGCTTGAAATATTTCACTCTATGTGTAATGAATCTATATAATATATGGGTTTCACTTTCTGAAATGAGTGACAAAAAATATTGACCTTTTTCATGATATTCTAATTTTTTTTAGATGTACCTGTATATTAGGGGTGTAACGATTCATCGATATGGATCTATACGATGTCTGACGATACGATGCATCGATGCCACACGTAAAATAATATCGATATCTGTAGTATAAATATACACCTTTATTTTGGCACCGTCCACATTTCACATAATCTCCGTCTATGCAATACCGACAACGCGTGCATTCTCGTTCAAACTCGGGTATCAGGACTCCATACAAGGACTGCCCGAAGGCACAAGGTGAGCATAAAAGACGCTCGAGATTGTTTGCGGAACAGTCGAGCGCTTTGTGAGAAGTTTTCTGCGCACGCACACAGACAGCTGCGTCTACACCGCGCGAATACTAAATTGAGCTCTCTTCCGCTTTTTTTGTGCATGGATGAATAAATAGACAAAATTACATCAAAATGCGCGTTTTGGCGAATATCCTAGTAAACACAGTAGGTTAGGCATATGTCTTAATGTAAACAGTTGAGAAAGAAAAGGCATGTGTATCAGTATATTAAATCCATGCTTCGTTCTTGAAGTGAAAGCAAATTAATAATACATCTAATGCTGTCAAAGAAAAATACAAGGGCTCACTGCTCCTGACTAAATAACCTTTGTAACATCAAAAATGATTAATCTATATTTAATTTATACAGTGAAGACTATGCAGTTATTTTACATTTGATTATTAC